ACTCGACCCAGTCTGTCATCGATATTTTGATTTGTTTATTTTTACGGCAAGCTCCTAAAATGTCGCAACAGATTCTAGCGTGATAATTATCGCATTTTTCTCGTGAATTTTTCAATTTCAAGACAGTCTTCTTTGCTGATATGAATTCGGAAAACTGCTGTTATTGGTTCAGAGCGTTTTGTTGAAATAAAGAGCCTGCTGGACATTGTTAGAACAGTTAGAAGTCGCATCAGGCATGTCAACTTTACTAATACTCTTCCAGAATTTACAGCTTCCCTAAGCCGTAAAACAAATACACATCTCACGTTCTGTACTCCATCGTTTGACCTTCCCGCTGTTATTATCATGCCCAGTCGATATCAGTGTCTATCTTTAGTTGACAAGTGTGGAGCTTCCCATTTTTCTCGTTGGTTATCAGGTGTGAATCAAAGCAAGCCTGTTTATCGGGCCCGCTTCTTCTAAGTTTCGGCCAGCTAGACATTTTGACCCCTTCTCGCCCGTAATCTGATTAGCCTAGGAAGCTGAAGCGAAACGTAACCGACGACAAGATTCTCACGCATCACATGAGCCTCACCTGCTTCGCTCGCTGATAAAACCACCACGGTACAACTACCCGGCCGTGTTAGACAGTGTTCATCGAAACGCGAAGATCACCGAATCAACGCTAGAAATCCGATTAAAAAATGGGCTATATTGGAGGAGTATGAATTTAAATACAAGACCATTGTTAGGAAAAATAAATTTGACAACAGCTGTTGCTCTGTAATCGGTTTCAACTCGGAGAGGGTGGCTTCATTTTTTCGCTCAATTTTCTTGTCTGATTGATACGAAAACGTACAAAGTAACAGAGTTCGCGTGTTACCGAAATCGCTTGAACTGTAGCTCATCAAGAATGTAGATCATCGAAAAGGGTATAAGAGGAGTGGAGGGTTTTTTTTCAGGGGGGGGGGCGGAGAGAGGGAGTGGCATTGGGGCCCACTAGGAACCGGAAAACCCAGGAGCCCATTTGGAAAACCGCATTCAAATTGCCGGCTGTAAATCTGTCAGTCTAAGGGCCTGTTTACAGGAAGGGAGGGTTACCCTAGCAAGCGGGTTACCCTAGCTCTCAGTGCACACATTTCCTCTTTTTTTCTTTGTCCTGTTTACAAGGCAGCTAGGGTTACCCGGGTAGGCGGGTACCCTATCTGCGTACTAGGTTTACCCTGGCAGGAGGGTCAACTTCTTCCCTTGTAAACACTCCGGGTTAACTTTCTACTTGTTTCCAGACCCTTTGAGTGTAACCGCGCATTATAAAAAAGTTGTCCCAGGTTGTAGGGTTACTTTACCTGTGAAATTTTCGCTTACTAGGGTAACCCTCCCTCCTAGTAAACAGGCCCTTAGACTGACAGATTTTTCTAAAACAGGTACAAACCTCATTTGA